TTTGAGGTGCCTCTGGGACCAATTGAAGAAAGTGCATTGCACGACAAAGATGCTGAAGCAGTGATTCAATATGCAATTGATGAACAGAAAGCGCAGGAGGAGCAGTTGCACATGTCAGCCAATGACCCACTCAGTTTGGCTTTGCGAGAGAAACTTGGTGAAGGAGTTGCAGGTGAACTGGAAGGTATGCAGGTTGTGGATGATGATGGTCCTGCATTACCTAGTGGACCAATCCATGTGACAGCAGAGAATCCACCTTTGACCAATACTGGAGATGATATGTCAGGGGATCCAGGTCTTGCATTGCCGGTGACACCGCCCAGGGACCATATAGAGATTGAAAGCCCTCGAGAGCCAGCAACATCTCGAGCAGCAGAACCCTCAGATGAGGACTCTTCAAAGAGGCAACGTTTGGATGAATCAAAGAGACAGCGCATTGCCAGGTTACAAGCTGAATACTAGCAGAGATTGTGTGCTGTCAAGATTGCCTACAAAGAGTACTTCACTATGGATGATTATGAGACAGATTTGAATCTTGAACAATCAGCTGAAGAGGATGAAGACTGGGTTGGTGAAGATGCGGTTGTGCTGATTGGAATTCCAGAGTATTTGTGGTCAGACGCTCCAGTAGATCAACCCGCGCCTGGTAGTCCAGAAAAATGGATTGATGACCTTGCAGATAAGGTGGAGATTGACCGTTTGTGCAGCATGCAAGTCTTGGTGCCACAATCCGAGTTCCAAGGCGAAATCACAGGTTCTTTGACTACAAGGATGGTCAGGGATTGGCGTTTGAAGTCTTATGGAGAAGGTGAAGGTGAAAGGAAAAGATGGATGCGCAGATCCAGACTGGTGGCGCGTGAATTTGCAACAACGAAAAGATTGGACACTTTCAGTCCTGCCACTGGAACCCATACAGCAAACCTTCTGCAGTTGAAATATCTTGGAATGAAAAGCAAGATTTGTGAGACAGCATGCAAGGAGGATTACGATGTTGTTATGGGAAGCTTGGATGTGCGTGATGCCTTTCTGCAGGTTGAACAAGATGATCCGGTGCGTGTGGTTTTGCAGGGACAGCCTTTTATCATAAAGAGAAACCTCCCAGGCCAACGTCTTGGAGCAAAACAGTGGTTTTTGTGTTTGAAATCATTCTTGATGGAAAGCATGAATTTTGAGTTTTGCCCGGAGCAACCATGCTTGGCAAGGACACCTGAGGCCTCGATCATGATACATGTCGATGATATCCTTTTTGTGGGATTGAAATCTTTCTGGAACAACGTTTTTCTGAAGAAGATGAGAGAGAGATTTTCAGTGAGTCATGATGAGTTGAAAGGCCCAGGATCAAGCATCACCTTCTTGAGGAGGAAAATTATGGAGGTTGAAGATGGGTTAGTTTTGGCCCCGGGTACAACTGTGGACAAAGTGGTTTCTTTGTTTGAGAGGATGTTTGGATCGGCACGATCACAGAAAGTGCCATGCGATGCAAGTATCCAGTTGCCTGACAATTCTCAAAGACTTTCAGAGAAAGACTCCAAGGGATACCGCTCAGTTGTGGGCCTATGTCTGTATGCAGGCCGTGAAAGGCCAGATTTGATGTATACCATAAAGGAGCTGGCGTCATACATGAGTGCTCCCACTTTGACTTCACTTGCACGCCTACGCAAGATGGTAGGCTTCATGAAATCTGTGGGGGACATTGGTTTGCACCTGCCATTTCCTGAAGATGGTCAAGGAAAGGTTATTTCTGGTGGACAATACCGATGGGTACTTGAGAGCTTCAGCGATGCCGATTGGAGTGCAAACAAGCAGACACGTCGCTCAACATCATGTGGGATACATTTCATCAATGGATGTTTCATGTATTCAAGCAGCCGAAGTCAACGAGTTGTATCACTTAGCTCATGTGAAAGTGAACTTCATAGTTTGGTTAGCTGCGTTTGCGATGGGATATTCATCAAGGCATGTGCTGCTTTTGTTTTGGATGAACAGTTGGAACATTTTCAGTTTACCGACTCAAGCTCAGCAAGGCAATTGGCAAGCAGGCAAGGGTCAGGTAAGGTGAGGCATCTGTCGGGAAAACTGTTATGGATACAGGAGAAGACAGCTGACAATACCTTCAAACTTCGACAGGTTCCAACTACTCTCAACGTGGCAGACATCGGGACAAAAGCTTTGAGCAGACAGAGGTTGTTCTATTTGTTATATGAATGTGAACTGGTTTTCATTGCAGACTTTTCAAGGGTTGGAGCAAATGAGCATGCAATTCAAGATGAGAGGAGATTGAATTCCCAACAATTGAAAAGAATTTCCAAAGCCATTTTACGCATGAGTATTGCCATGGGAGTTGCTGGGGGTCTTGAGTCAGCAGGACCGGTTGCGGCGATGGCGCAATCAGATCGCGCAAACATGGACAATGAGACCAAGGACACATCATGGTTTTCATTTGCAATTGCGGTTTTGGTGATTTGCATGGGTGCTGTGTTTTCAAAGCTGGCATTCAGAGCATGGAAGTGGATTGAAGAGAAAATCAAGAAACTGGAGAACCAAGTGCTGGGAGTTTCAAACGAGTTGGAGCAAGCCCAGATTCAGTTAGCCGATCACTATGAGTATGCAGCTGATTTGAATGGAAGAATAGAAGATTGCAACGCTTTGGCAACAGATGCGTCAAACAGAATTGACACGGTGATGGCTAGACAGACTGGTTTTGAACAGGAAACTATCGAAGGTTTCAATGCTCTGGAGGAAACCTCAAATTGCGTGAGGTATGGACTGATGGAGATAGGTGGTTTTGTCAGGAACGCTAAACTGACAGCCGAGCAGTATCGACACATGCTAACGCAAGAAAGAGGAAACCTGGTGCTTTGGAATCATAGAAACCGTGCAGATTCAACTGACCCAATTGTACATCAGCAAGAAGATCACGAAGGAGGAGAAGAAGAAAGTCCGACAACAGATGTGGAGGACAACCAATCCAATAGACCTACTGGAATGGAAGCCCTCTTACAGAACATGAGGGTAGATCAAAATCAAGCTCTTGCAGCAGAACGCTGGCATGAGGCCAGCATGATTCAGCAGGCAATTTGTCTGGTGCTAGATTCCACTCTAACAGAGGGATTCAGTACAAGAATTTCAAATGAGATCAGAAACATATTCCAGAGGCTATATCGTTTTCACCGTAACAGAGGAGATGATGAACGCCGAGACAGGTTTAGGCTCTATGTCGAAGACATGCAGAGCTTGATGATTTGAAAGATTGAATTCGAAAACGTTTTCACTGGATGATGCAGAGTCAGACAGCAGAGCTGAAATTTGCGTTGAGGTGAAAATTTTGGAGTTGTGGAATGAGCCACGCTCAAACCACAAAGGAGGAGTGTGGAAAGTTGTGGAGCCCACTCACATGTGCCAGGATGACACGCACAAATCGATAAGAGAGTTGCATTTGTCATTTCACTTCATAGACTGACATGAACAGCATGTGCAGTTGAAACTTGTGAGACCCTTTTGGCACGAGTGAAAATAGACTGCAGCGTTTTCGCCTGAGTCTTTGCATAATTAGAGAAAAAACCCTGCGCATATCTTGAGGCAATTCACTTTGGATAGCCCCACATTGGGAAAAAAAAACATCATACGCAAACCAGTACCAACAGCCTCTCAGATGCCGCTCAGTTGATCTTCGGGCCGCTCCACAAAGATGGGTCATCAAGGGCCCTTCTCCACTGAGGTATTGTATCCAAGCGGGTCCATTGTAGGACCGACTGCTGCACACAACACGGTACCGAAGTCAGTATCCCATGGCGGACCCCCCCCAGGCGGCCCGCAAAACATTGCCGGAAGGGACAGGCTGCAGAACACCACTTCGGATCAATTCCTCACCGGTTGCCAGTCAAAATGAAAGCCAGTCAGCGGCGAAAGACCTGCTATGGAGGCTAAGGGAGCTTTATCGCGTGACGTGGGCAAAGCGCGCTTACAAAACATTTCAAAATTTAAAATGAACTTCTTAAGTTCACACTTCATAATATTTGACTTTTTGTCCAGCTTTGTTAATTGGGGAGATTCCAAGGAGTGCGTTCACTCAGTCGCCAACAGACGTTCTTTTGACGATGACTCTTTGTCATCTGCATATGGAAAAAAAATTGATTTCCAAAATTTCACACGCATTGCACTTCTGCAAAACTTTGGTCCGATGACCGTGAACTCAAACTGAACATGGCGAAAACGGAAATGAAGACATTGCAAACATTTTGGGAGCTGCTTAACTCCCCCCCCCGAACTCGCGGGGTGGGTACTGGGCGGGTCGCGAGTTCCTACAAGTGGAAAACAGTTGCTCCCACCACCCACCCAAACTGTTTGAGGCGAGCGCGGTTAAACAAGAACATGATTTGGACACAACCAAACATGAAAACGAGGAACGTTAAAACCAAGTTGTTGTTTGAGATGGTTGGAAGTTTTCACAGAAGAAAACCTGGTACCTAAAAAGCCTTAAAGACCAAACTAAGGCATTAGATACCAGCAACCTGAAACAACAACGACAGTGGAGTTCAAACGTTTGAGAGTTGTTTCTTTTGTTTGCCCTTGCATTCAAGGTAAACAAAATTAAAACATGTAAGCGCGCAAAATTTTTGAGCACACTCAAAAATTCTTTAACCCACTTTTCTTTCGATAAAGAACCATCACCTACGGTGAAATAGTCCTTATCGCGTGACGTGGGCAAAGCGCGCTTAGAAAACATTTCAAAATTTAAAATGAACTTCTTAAGTTCACACTTCATAATATTTGACTTTTTGTCCAGCTTTGTTAATTGGGGAGATTCCAAGGAGTGCGTTCACTCAGTCGCCAACAGACGTTCTTTTGACGATGACTCTTTGTCATCTGCATATGGAAAAAAATTTGATTTCCAAAATTTCACACGCATTGCACTTCTGCAAAATTTGGTCCGATGACTGAACTCAAACTGAACATGGCGAAAACGGAAATGAAGACATTGCAAACATTTTGGGAGCTGCTTAACTCCCCCTTTCAATCAACTCAACCAGCTTCCAAGAGTTCTCCAGGGCTTTCAAAGCCATTGAGTAGTCAGGAACTGACCTGACAGAGTTTCGATACTCCGAGAACTGTAGTCTGGAGGCACTGTCTGATGGATTGCTTTTTGATGGCACTCTGCTGTACCAGTTCCTGGATTGGACGCAGACGTCCATGCGCGCATTCAACTGCAGAAGGAAAAAACTGTCCAAAATGGGGGAAAAATTTCTCACCAGAGACATCCGAGCGCTCTCGTTGTCAAGGAACCACAAAATGCTTCTACCTTCCAAAGCTTTGCTCCATGTCGCTTTTGCAATAACGACTGGAAAGATCTCGGCCTGGGCGATGACCTGTTTCTTACCTGACCTCATCCAAAGCTGCACGAACTCACTTGGTATGTTATCTCCCATAAAGAAGCTCTGCTGCTTCCAAGGGTCCACAAGCACAGCGCCATGGGTGACAGATTGCAGCGAGTCTTCTACTGCACCATCGGTGAATAGCAACAAGGGCGGTGCTTCAGACCAGGATTGCACCAGTCTTGGTTTGGCTTCCATCAGCAACGACAGAGCTTCTGAGACAACGTGGACCAACTCCGGTGTCACTGTAACTGACGGTCCTTGCCCTCCAAATTTGTGAAGAAGTTGACAGGCCAGTTGCGTCGTTCTGCCGTATGTGTGCCCTGCCGCATAGAGGAGTCTCCCCTTCAGCGACTCTAGCATCGCACGTGGGGCAGTGGCTTTCAAAAAACCTTTTAGTTCATTCACCTGTTGTTTCAACTGCAGAAGCCTTGACTCCTTGTTCGTAACTTCTATGGTTGCACTCTGGTGGAGGAAAGGTCACAATAGCTCCCAATATCTCGAACCTTTTCGAGAAAGCCTTTCGTTTGTCATCTCCCATGGAGATTCTCCATCCAAGAAGACTGAGCACCAACTCCGCAGTCTTCCAAGCTCCATCGGATAGAGGCGCAAGCTCAATCTGGCAGAAATCATCGAAGAAGTTTGTAACCACAAGCTTGAACAAACGTGTCAGAATCATACGCAACGCTCTTGCAGCACGGTTAAAACCAATGACTGAAGAAACAGATCCAAAGGGAAGGGCTATGGCTTCGAAGTAGTAGACATTGTTGTCCGCTGGATTCGCTACAGCAAGGATCGACGCCCAAGCGTCACAGGATTCCGCACCAATTGCTTGTAGGCATGCTTCAGATCCAAGCATCGCCCGACCAAGTCCCTGGACTTCGTCGTACGCCACTCTGCTGCTATAGGCCCAGAAGAAACACCACCTTCACCAGGAATGCGCCAACGATGCGCGTCTCTCATAGCTCCACGGAAGAAGCGGGCTGTTGCACAAATATGGTCAATGCCCTCCAAGTCGATCTTCTCATGACATGTCACCGTGGAGTTCACCAAGAATTGACTAAAATCGTCCACCGACCGAATTTTTCCTCCTTGGCGCACTCCAAAGCGCCTTGATGGGATCCAGTGCTTCCCATGCTTTGCAGTAATTTCCTCAGAAGAATATGGACCTTTGACCCAACGTTTGTCTTCCGCGGCCTGCTCTACCGTCTCCTGCCAAACTGCTGCAGCGATCTCTGAATCTTCCAAGACCCGTTTGCATGACCCAACTACTGCACGCTGAGCCCAGATTGCAGTCTGTCTGAGCTGCTCAATCCCTAACACTGCCGGTTTCCACTGCGGAGGAAATTGACCAGATGGGGATAAATCACCTACCAGTCTGAAACCATTGCAAAGCTCTTCAAAAAGCAAGGGATCTGCTACACCTGCATCAGCCATCATTTCTTGGAACAGTAAAAGGCGCTTGGTCGCCATCACCGGTTGGATTGACTCGTTCAGCGTCTCGTGCAACCTTGCCTCGTCTTGTTGTAGTGCTCTTGCACGCCCAATGTAATGCTGCAGCATGTCAGCTCTGTGCTTTGCTACTCCAGCAGGACCTCTTTCCAAAATGAAAGCAATAGATTCCATGTTTGACTCATCCAATGGGAGCGGCACATCAAATGGATGTGTCAGTTGTTGCACACGCTGCACAAATTCCTGAGGGGAGAAATATACCCCGTAAATTGCCTTCAGACGACCACTACCCCCTTTCTCATCAATAACCGGCTGCAGGTCTAGTCTCTTCGCACCAACAGGAATTCCCTGCCACGGTGGTTTTGCATCCTCTGGAATGGAAAGTGGCGGGTTGTCATCTTCTACACATTCAATGGCCACTTTCGACTTGAACTCAGAAAGGAGGAGTGGCCCCTTGGTACGTCTTGGCTGTGATTCAGCCGAAATTTTCACTGCATGGTCAACTAGTTCATCCTGCAAATGGATGTCTCCACGCTTTGCCAGTTCTTCCAGAAAAGATGCCGCTAGCTCATGTGCTAATTTGCTGGGATATTCGGCTGCTTTGGCCGTATCAAAGGCCCAGTCACCTGATTCAAGTTGCCTGACCTTCCAGGCAGCATGACTGTGATCACCAGAACAACGTTGTTTGAGCCTAGGGGCATCGAAGTTGGCAAGGAATGCAGTGGATTTCTTATGCTCGGATCCGTATTCACAGGCATCAATGACATGGAAATAAAAACGCTGCAAAAGAGGTTTGAAAAATGGAGTTTCCCACATCAGGGAGTTCTCAGGGTTCTCCACCGTAAACAAGACATCATGTTTCTCGCACAGCAGCACAAGGTTGGCTGAAAATTCGTACAGGCAGTTGGCAGCCTGCACTTTCACTTTGTTCAGCCCTTTCAGCCACGGAAAGCCCAATGGGTATGCAGAGCTCCTCAAAGGCTGAGGGTTTGGAGCTCCCTTCTTCACAAGTTTCCTCTTTATTGGGATGTTCCTGGCCTTGGACGCTGTGCCACAAGGTGGTCCTAGGTGTATGCCTGAGATGCGGCCAAGTGTGATCTCTTTCACAATGAGATCCTGTACCCACTGCTGGGTTAGGTCCAGTTGAACGGCCGCTGCTTTCAGTTTGGCCCTCTTCAGGTGATGGTCCACACCCAAGGCTCTTCCACCTTGCGTACGAAACTGAGCGCAAACTCTTGCAGTTCCACAGAAAAGCTCCAAAAGAAAAGGCGGCGCCTTCGCGCCCTCAACTGCTGGACCCTTGCATGCAAGCGGGGGCTCACCCCCAAAACTTGTGTCAGCTGACATTCGCTGACGTGTAAAAGGCGTTGCAAGTCCCTCGACCTCAACGTTGGACACAGGTTCATCCTGGATGATATCCACTGAAGGAAAAATCCCCGGTACTGCCTTCGCAGAAGTGGGGACAGAAGCCGGCTTTTCGGCCTCGCTTGTTTCAACCCTCGTCTGACCTGGCAAGCCCTGCTGCTTGCTTAGTCAATTTGCCTTGTCGTGGTTGAGGAAGTTGTGTGATGGAGAGAAACAGCCTGGACGGCAGCACACATGTCGGCCACGTTTGCACTGCTTGTCGTGGCAAGATCCGAGGTTGTAACCATAGCAAATCGACTTTCCATCTGAATCCACCGGAGTGCCTCCTCGTAGCTGAGCTGGCATTGGTGTCTTCGACAAGCGGCGGTTCTTCTTGTCAAACTTGCCACTTTTCGGTGGTGACCATGGCTTGTTCTTTGGCTTCGGCTGAGGGTTGCTAGGAGCCGGTGTTTTGTCCACCGCTGCGTTGGTCTTTGGTTTCTGCATCAGGAGCCACATGATGGCTGGCATCTCCAAGACAGCTTGAACATGGACGTCAAGGGGTAGTTCACCAGCCGGCCCAAGCGGTAGACCCGCTCGTGTCTTTTCAGACAACTTCAGGTGAATCTCTCGGTCTGCAGCCGCAAGTTGGGCCATGGAGAGCTTCCTGAAACCATCCATTGGCTCCCTTTGCAACTCTGCGAACAACATGTTGACTATCAACTCACGTTTCTCAAAACTCATGAGGTTTGCCAGCTCGTATGCGATCCCACGTCTTCTCATAGCATTCATCACCTCAAGTTCTGATGAAACTTCACACTTGAGATTGGAGTCGGCCTCTGTCTGTTTAATTGTTCCAGATGCATCGGCCTTCCAAACCTTAAGGCTCTGTTGTTCTTTCACATTGTTCACCTCTGACGACCTCGAAGTGCAACGAGACCACTCAGTGTATCTCAAGCGACCGTCCTCTGCACACTGCGCCAACGCGTTCACTAATGCATGGCTTGGTTCAAGCACACTCTCAATTTTCAGGGGCTGAAGCTTCTTCTCAATTGCCGTGAACCTAGCCGCTATCTCCTGTATGGGGAGCTTCTTCGGCGCGTCGCTCTCTGTATTGTCTGCTTTGCGCTTCAGCTCAGTTGCAGTCAGGGTGTATGATTCGAAGAGCAAACGGCGTAGCAACGCCGCCTCCGGAGCATTTGAACTGCCCAGGATAGGCACTGCAACTTTTGTATCGAAGTCATCATCTGTTAACTGGCCAGGATTGGTCGTCACTGAAAAGGCGTAACTTCCAAAGGTTGACCAACCCTTTCTTTGCAGCTCGTCGTACGTTGCCGCTGTGATCTTTATCTCATCGCATCTTGCTTTGAAAACGCTCTGACTGTCAACATATGACATGGCTGGCACTGAGACAAACGGAGGTGCACAGAAAATGAAGGTTCAACAATGCACTGCAAAATTGAAAACAAGGACATCAAATGTAAGCTCTTGCAACTCACGTTCATTTAAATCTGAACTGAAAAGGCATGAACATTCTGACAACAAACGTTCACCAAGGACTCAACCTTGATTGGACACTTGAGTCCAGCTGAGGCACACCACGCATCATGAGCTCAATCTTCATTGAGTGCTGACACTTGGGTCGGCTTCACACAAGGTTCAAATGATGCACAAGTTTCGAAAACTGACCTCAGACCTGATGCCTTAACTTCGGAAACACATGTGAGCAAGCACAAAATTCCAAAAAAAAAACTCAACAGAGGTGACGTTGATTGCACTGACGGCAACGGATTTTCCCTTCGGAAACATTGCAGTAACGCATTGTATGGTCATTGCCACTGCATGACATGTGCAATTGAGGAGTCACAAGGCAGCAACGTTCACTGACAAATCCAAAAGAAATGACACATGAAACAGGTCACAAATGAATGACAGCTCATTCATCTGGGCTGCCAACTTCGTCATCAATCTTGTCGCTCCACCCAAAGCAAGTCATGCAGCCACGTGCTGCAAACGCTGGCACTGTCGCCAACTTTACATAGTTGTCATTGCATCTACGGCCACATCTAAAAATCATCACACCATCTTTGCAGCGCTCAACAAAATGAAGCTTGTGCGACTTGACATGTTTGAAACAAGTTTTGCCTGCTAAATCTGAGGGTGGAACCAAGTCTTTGGCGTTCTTCTCGCCGTTCAAAACTGCTTGACGTTCCATGTCATCAGACTGACTGTCTGAATCTGTTGATGATTCTGCCGATTCAGGTGCATCACTGACATCACTCACTTGACCCGGCCCATAAGAAAAGGTCGGCTCAAAACCAGTTTCCAGGGTGTGACGTTTCAACTCATCCAAAGTGGTTTCATCATGAAAGTTGCAAGACATCTGAAATGATTCTGGATCATGAGGTCCCGACTCAACGCAATCCTTCTCACCAGCTTCCAGGCCAAACAGGGAAGCACTGAAGTATGGTTTTCTGACATTAAAAGAATGATCTGCATTCAAATGACCAGCTGCAAGTTTCACTGCATCGTCCAGTGAGTGAGCTCCTGACCAACGCTGAGATCGAGGCAGATCTGGCTGAAAAATCTCAGCCCATACTGCGATGAAAAGTGCTTCAATCTGGCGCAGCACTGGTGCAGCAGCATCTCTCGAATACTCCAGGGCGCTCTTGTCTCCAGGGGTCACATGATACCCAGCCAGGCGTCTGAGTGAGATGTCAACATTCGCCTTTGCAAGCCATGACAAAATTGTAGCCTTTGCCGAGTGGGTTGCTAACCCTTGGATTGCCGACGGTGTCCAGGGCCCAAGCAATTCACGCAGCCACACACTAGCCGCTAGCCTCTGATGATGTCAGAGGTTGATGTGACCAAATTCCATCTGCTGTAGGTGCCGGCATCATCGGCTGTTGCAGAGATCCACGCAACTTCATGGCAATCCTCTTCTGGAGCCAATGTTCAGCCCAGTTGTATCCTGAAATTCCTGGGACCACTGCTGCCACTGGAAGCAAACGCACCACTTTCGACCTTCGTTTGTTTGCAGTCTTATGATGATAAAGAGCGGCTTCCAGAAAGCCTTTGTTGTTGTGGACGTCCAGCGATGGTTCTTGAATGCAATGCTGTCCATCTGACCACCTGAGCCTGCAGTGTACAAGGAAGCACAAGTAACCAGCAAAGATTGCATCTTGACCATGACCAAAAATTGCAATCCTCTCCAAAATTATCAACTGCTCGACAGAAAAGGGCCACTTCTTCTTTGGAGGGCCCGTTGAAGCCCCTGCTGCAGCACCCTTGACCCGTGCCGAGGAGAGGACTTCATCGACCTTGGCTCCAATCAAACCTTTTGCAAAGCCCACCGCTTCTAAGAAGCGTCTGCCCTTCGTTGGAGCGGCTTTCAACGCCTGCAGCTCACAAAGATATTCATATGCCATCTCTTCTGTAATTGGAAAAATGCTTTCAGAAGCACCCCAGCTGAAAGACCTCTTCCAGCGTCCAAAGGCAAGCAGAGAGGCTGCTCGTGACTTCAAAGTAGCTGCAGCTCTGCTACTAAAAGCATCGTTGATGACCTGCCAAATGTAGTCATCGCTCTTGCCATGTTCAATGCACTGCATCAAAAGCTTACCCAGATCTGTATTTGAGGTGCTGTCCAACACAATGACCTTCCAACATTGTAAAGCCAAATTTAAGCGATGGTTCTCTGAAGCCACCCATGACACTTCAGACATGTGGCGCTTTACATTGAACTTGTTCAAGCGCATCGGCTTCGGAATTGTGTCTCTCCGAACAGCATCATCCTCGGGGAGGTCAATCCAGTCAGGTGCTACCAAAATCTGACGTGGCTTCTTCGACAAAAACTGTTCAAATTGCGAATCTTCCCATGAAAATTTGACTTGCAACCGTTTGCCACCCAATTGACGTGCACACGCATCAATGAACTCTGTGGACAAGCTCGACATGTCAAAGGAAATGAATCCAGAAAATGTCACAATGAGCGCCAGGGTCAAAACCAGAGTCCAGAACTTAATCATCCATGAAATCCCAATTTCGCGAGTTCCTACAAGTGGAAAACAGTTGCTCCCACCACCCACCCAAACTGTTTGAGGCGAGCGCGGTTAAACAAGAACATGATTTGGACACAACCAAACATGAAAACGAGGAACGTTAAAACCAAGTTGTTGTTTGATATGGTTGGAAGTTTTCACAGAAGAAAACCTGGTACCTAAAAAGCCTTAAAGACCAAACTAAGGCATTAGATACCAGCAACCTGAAACAACAACGACAGTGGAGTTCAAACGTTTGAGAGTTGTTTCTTTTGTTTGCCCTTGCATTCAAGGTAAACAAAATTAAAACATGTAAGCGCGCAAAATTTTTGAGCACACTCAAAAATTCTTTAACCCACTTTTCTTTCGATAAAGAACCATCACCTACGGTGAAATAGTCCTTCCATTCAATCTACTGATCGATGCCTACACAATCGCCAATATCCGCCAGGGACTGCAGTAAACCACTTCGGGTCTGTTCTGTAGCCTTCGCTAGCAAAGATGGAGGCAATGGCTAATAGGGCAGTGAGCATGGGAATGCAGATTCAATCCAAAAAGTCGTCGGTGCTGACGAAAACCTAACACAGGACCAGGTGCAGGCTTAGCAACCTTCCGACCCATCCTGGCAGAAGACGACGGTGCCAACAAATTTGCACTGCTGTTGTGCAAGGCGTAAAGTATTGGCTGTCAATCTCAACGCGCCAAACAAATAAATATGGTGAAACATCTCCGCACTCGGGACACAGATTGCCACGTGGCCAGGTGCGTAGTGTACCAATCCTGAAAGACACCAGGACATGGCCGAGTCCAGCGATGTACAGAAAGGTCCCAGTAGCCACTGGTGATGTATCCCACGTATCTCATGGAGAGGCAGGCAGGCCGCGAACCCTGGACATAGAAGCATGGTGAAGAGGGACACACCCCACACAGGGCCAATGCCTTTAGTGCGATGAGTCGACGCCGCAGGAGGCGATTCTGCAAGCCTCACTCACTCGCTGTTCTCATATGGCAGTCACAGTTCTGGCTCAAGTAGACATTCCCCTATATAATTTTAATTTATTATTCAAATAAATCAAAACCTATAAATGAAAACGCAATACCGCAAAACGACGGAATCTCACAGACCGCACTTTATATTAATCTCTTTTTCGACTGCCAGAATTGTTAATTGTCTTTGGATCCATTTGAACCACATTTCGTGTTCAAATGTGTAAACGCCAGGCTGATGGTTATTTTCTGCCCATCAGGTAGCCAATATTTGGCCAAGAAAAAGGGATGAAGTCGAATGAAGATGGCGTCGCTGCAATAGGTTCACTTAAAGTGAACGCTGAGGATGTGAAACGTACGCAATTGAAAACCGGACCGGGTATAGAAAAAGGGAGTGTAGGTTAGATAGTCCCCGAAACCCCTTTAATATCATTGGTGAGGGTGGGGGGGAAAACAAAAATCCCTTCAAACAGGGAATGTCAACTTGAGCCAAAATGTAGCCCATCATAGGATGAAGTTCTACATTCCCAAAACATTAGTGAACAAGTACACTACACGTTCTGGCTCAAGTAGACATTCCCCTATATAATTTTAATTTATTATTCAAATAAATCAAAACCTATAAATGAAAACGCAATACCGCAAAACGACGGAATCTCACAGACCGCACTTTATATTAATCTCTTTTTCGACTGCCAGAATTGTTAATTGTCTTTGGATCCATTTGAACCACATTTCGTGTTCAAATGTGTAAACGCCAGGCTGATGGTTATTTTCTGCCAATTCATCTATCAGGCTGGTGGGATACAAACGCCAATTACGCCCCAATATATGTGTTGGATTCCAGCAGTCGAAAAGATATATAGAGGGATGAGTGGATTTGTAAAAATTTTACCCAGTCCAGTTTCTATGGGAGTTGCCAAGCTAAAAAGGTCTCTGGAGGATATACCGCAACTGAAGTCTCTGGATGCCACAGCTGTTCCAGTGTAAGTGGAAATCGATTTTGCAATAGGTGTTGAAAAGGTGGTGGTGTGGATTCGTCCCACCTACTCAGTGCATCTGCTTCTTCATTTCGTTCGCCAGAAATATGAGAAAGGTCAAGTTCCATGCCGGAGAAGGTACATAACAGAGTCAGCTTTTCGAGAAAAAGGTTCATCGGAGATGACATCGAAAATAATTTGTTGCCGCCCGCTTCTGCTCCAGTGTTATCAGTCAAGGAAGGTATACGTAAGGGATATCGAAATCCAGGGGAGCTGCGGCTGAAAATAAAAAGTATTGCCATTTGTGCCAAGGTCTCAAAACAAGCGATACATTTCTGCATTTCTTTGCTGACAGGAATATGCATGGATTCAAATTTTGCATAGGAAAAGGTTTCACTAAACCAAACTGCGGTGCCAGAAGGAAAACGAATGAATCCGCCGATTTGGCAAGTATCGCCATGAGCACATGCGTCAGCTGCGCACTCGCCAGTCCAAAGTTGTTTTGGCCTGAGACATTTCACCAGGGAGAGTGACTGTAACCAGGCTGAAAACATATGCAGAATCCGTATGGAGTCTGATGATAAGTATCGCTTTGACGATTGCATATCTCGAATGCGAAGCCATGTGCGTCTTTCAGAAAGATAAATATTGTTGAGATCCGACAGGGAGGAAACGTTTTGATGGCGAATGGCCAACAAAGTGCTGCCTACAGGTATACCAGTGCCTGTGGGTGTGCTGGTAAATTTCAAATCATTGTCCAGACAAGCCATGACATTACGCCAATGGCCTGGGTCGATGCTAAAATGACTTGCAGGAACATGGAAAAGGTCCTTGTATAATATTGGAAGCCAGCATCGCATGAGCAGAAAAATCTGAGTCACCCAATTCAGTAGCCCAACCAACTTCTCCAATGCCTTCTTTGAGGTACGAGAAGATCGTATCATCTGTGTGATGTAGTTGCGCAGTTTTTCCAGTTTCACAAGAGGTAGGGCTATGTACCCAGATGTAATCTCAAATTGGCAGCCAATCCAGTGAATCCGAGCACCAAATTCAGATTTCCGCCAGGAGATAGGAATGTTCAAAATTTGTGAAGCTATGCAGAGCTCACAAGCCATGATCAATGCTACTGATTGAGGAAAAAGGAATAAGTAGTCATCAACGTACAGGAATCCGGCGTGGATCCACCACAGGAGGTGGTGGAAAAACCTCAATATAAAGCTCCCCACACGTGTCCAGTGATATGCGCTAAAGGTAGCGCCGAAGGGGGCTACTTTGTAAAAGTATATCTTGTTATCGAGTGTAAAGCCTAATAGGCCGCGTTCTTCTGTTCGAATGACAACAAGCTTGTGGGCGGATTTGATGTCGAGCGAAAATCCCACCAATTGTTCTTGGGTTTCCCTCAATGGGTATACCCGCATAACGTCCAATGCACTCGGCAATGTCGTGCGCTCCGGTATGGAGCACCGACTGTTTAGGCCGCATATTGATGAGTCAACAACTAATCGAGGGGGCCGATGATCGCTGAGAGCAAGGCCGAGACGTCCAATGGCTAACTTGTCCCCAAATTCTGCTTGTGCATCGGCCAAGGTGCCATGGTACTCGTAGATCCATCCCTTTTCCAGCTCTTGGTTGACCAAATCACGAGTGGTCTCCAAGTCTGATTCTGCAGATTGCCAGTTCGTCATGTGGATGGATAAAGGGATGGAATCATCTGCTTTGTCTTCGGCACGAGGAAAAATGGTTGAAGGTGGGATATCCGATTGGATTCCTGTCGGAGCTCCATGTCGTAACATATCAAACAGGGAATTGTCCTTGTCTTGCATAATTCTTGAAATGGCCGCCATAATCTCAAGGTGCATGGGTTGGTCCATGCGAATGCTCCAGTCTGCAATCATGCCATGAGATTGTATAAAACGTTCCATGGAGTGTCGAAATGGAGCCAAGTCTTCTGCAGAAAAGGGTGGTTGGGCTTCATGGGCCCGAAAAAACGCTTGCATTTTGTCCAGCATCCCATTGTGAAGGATCAATTGAACCCAGTCTTGTCGAAGTTGCTTCAAGCTGTCAGGAGTAGCCCGATGTGGACGACTCCAATCGGGTTCAGAGTTGAGGCCACCACCATCTTCATAACTCACCGGAAAATCACAAGAACCCTTCACAGGGATGCATTGTTGTACTGTTGTCCATGTCAGTTGGTGACCAGTGTCAGAAGCGCAGAGTGGTGCAATCAAGTTGGCAATCGCCGCACACATTGGTTCCGGGTATTCAGCAGTGTCGCGGCTCTTAAAGGTTCCATCCGCATGTCGAACGCCAGAAATGGGTTCATGGGAGTCTTTGGGGTGATTGCAAATGGATCCTAAGGATTTTAAAGCTGGATATGAACATGCCAACAACCAACTCTTATTCCAATTCCGCGAGAAAGCACAAGCAGGAAAATTTACCAAAAATATAGCACAAAATTTTATGAATCGCCGAACCTCCGCCTCCAGCCATGCCATAGAGTTCGTCGGTTGTTCAAGGTGGACATGTCCACCTGCAGAGTAAACCAATTCCAAGCACAAAACGCATCGGGTCATCAGTTCATAGCTCGCTTGGACTCGGTCAAGTTGGGCTGGAGTGAGACCAGGAAGGCCTTGCATAAACTCAGGTGTCCGCAATGCTGGTGGTCCATGAGGCTTCAGTTTGAGTCGGCTGTACTCACCACAGTTTGGGGCGGCCCCTGCATAACCCACGCATCCAGATGAGCATACACGCAACAAAGGTTCAAAGAATGAATTATTCAAAATATCCATGTCATCACAAATCAATTTGTCAACTGGAAAGCAAATGCAATTACGCTGTAGCATCGCTGATGTCAGAGGATGTCCGGCTCCAGAGCATAGGTCCAGAAAAATTCGAGAACCTTGTAAATAGGAGAAATCCACATTGTTTGAAACAGATGGTGGGATAACCTCCTCTGTATGTGAAACAGTCTCCAAAGCTTGGGCTTGAGGAGATGGTGAGATGGTTGGGGGTGAAAAAATTTCGCCCTCCTTGTCATCGCTGAGATCCATGCTGGTCGCTGTGGTCTGTGCATCGGAAGCCGCAAGTCAGTGGGGTTGTTGTTGATGAGCAAATGCGCTATGGGCTTGGCCGCAAGCTTGTCCAGAAGCAAGCGGATAGGCACAGAAGTGGCCAAACTTGCAGAGATCACCCTTCTGACAGCGACCAGATTGGAATTGCATACAGAGCTGCTGCTTCTTGCCCTGAATCGTTGCTTCTGTCACCCAAGTTGGTCGTCCTTGAGCTTCGCCTTTGGTGTTCTTGCCAATGGATTTGGATTTGCCTTTTCCCTTACTCTTGCCCTTGGGGGCTGTAGTGGTCGAGGCCGAAGATGAGGTTGAACCCATAGGTCGTGAGGTGACCTTGGCTCTTGGCTGCAAAAGGGAGGCCATGTCCGCTCTCAGGTGAGTCACCTCATGTAAGGCGTTGTCCAATGTAAATCCTTGATCCAACACCAATTCGTGAATCAGATTCCATAGTTGTTTGTCTGCTGCCTGTGCCTCCAGTACGTTCGGCGTCCGGAGTCCAGAATCTCCGTCCAAACGCTGGGTCAAGAAGCTCATGAAGCGTAATGAGTATGCCCGCAATCGTTGGAGATGACATGCTCCCACTAATGCCATCGCAGTGTTGTGAATATCCATCATGTTGCGGATTGCGTTCACGCCCATCCCAGTGTTGTTGATGTCCAAGGCCGGAGGTTCGTCCAGCAACAACTGGTGTAATTGAAGACCCTCAATGCGGGGGACTTTGGGCTTATGGTAAATCACCATATCATCCATTTTGGATTGTGACATTCGATAACGCCAAGGGATCCATGGATACTCACGTTTGCTATGATGCTGAAACGCCATTGAAAGCAAGCGAGAACTGGGCATCGTGTCTGGGCTAAGGACCTCTGATGGATAGTCGTCCAAAAATTGTTTCTTCAATTTCGAAACTGTGTTCGCCTGAAGCTTGGGGGCGAAAGATTCAGACCATGATCCTTCAGGAGCTGATGCTGTCGGCATGCCAGCAATGTTAGAGTCCCGACTGGTACTAGTAGAGTCAGGTTGCAACTGTTGCCAAGCCACTTTCAGGTTTGAACGCTGCACCAAAGAAATTGGTGAATTGCACAACTGGTCCCAAATGCCTTCATTGAACTCTTCTTTGGAATTAACTACCATTGCGAAATTTTGGGATGTCCATCCCTCCTGCACCAGCTGCGAAGCCAATGTTGGGTCAACCCCACATTCAGACAAAACGTCTTCAAACGCAGGTAAAGCCATGTTGTCTCCACAGGAGACTACGCCAAACGCATTGGATGAAGCGTCCACCGAAAAATTATAATTCATAACTGCATTATGATTGAACACGTGGGCAGTGTATTCATATGGATTGGTATAAATGGAAGTTCTCATCATGCGATCAAAAAAGATTCATGTGAGGGACATAAATTGAGTATGGGGAAAGAAAAGGACTGTTAATAAGTTTGGAAGGTTGTGTGGACCTACGCTGACCCCAGGCCGACGCGATGGCAACATGCCAATCAAAGCAAATGGATGAACGCATTGCTGCTGAAAATTTGTGAAGACACTTTGAACCAAGATTGAACCTGGATTGATGCAAATGCCTTAAAAATGTAAACATTTTCAATGTTGATCCAATATCACGTGCCTTGAGTGAATCGATGTTGGAGCCTGGAGCCACATCTGCATGGAGGTTAAGTTCGATGCCTTCCAAGTGAATGTCGACCAAATGTGACTGTGAAGTCAAGTGAAGTTCGTTGCGTCGATTGAAATAATGTCTGATATCTTCATGTCATTCATTTGATAAAACAACTTGAGAAAAGGAAAACAAAACATGACACATCACTCCTTAACTGAGTATGTGGAAAAACAATGGCTGCTCAGTCAATTGCACATTTCAGCAAGCTCGGCGCCCCGCAGTGAAGTAATGATTCATTAGGAATCGGTTGAAACTTGTTGCCAACGGTTGCAGCAGGCTGCATGTCGACAAATGCTGTATGATGGTTGGAGCTGAGTGTCAAAATGACAATGGTCTCGGGGTAAACGAGCCCCACAAGCTGCCCTATAATGCACACCTTCCCAAACCGGCTGTTGTTGATCATCACAGTGAAGCATGATGTGTTGAATTTTTGTAAAGCGGGCAACAACCAGTTCCTCCGGAGGTCCAAGCAGGGTCATGTTGTTCGATACTTTCCGAGGTGAATCTGATGAGCTCGATGATGAGGAGGATGATGACGAGTCGCTTTCCACCGTGATCTCATCCCCTGAGTCAATGGTGGCAAGTGCCGTTGGCTGACCTTTCAACAGAGGGTCTTTGACAGCATTGTTGAATGGAAAAAATGTCCATCGGTGCTCTTGGTATGACTTGGCAAAGCTTTCTAATTTGACTGGGGGTTCACGGATCGGTTGCTGTGATCCACGATGCAACGGTGTCACAAATCGATATCCAGATTGCACTTGGGTGATGAGGGTGTCCTGCAGTGCCAGCTGGCCGGCGGTGTCATCCCGGCTGTAGAGGCGCATGCTGCCACGTCGATGGTGGCCTTGGAGGTGTCGCTGCTCCTCCGTCACGAGGCCCTGCTGGGCCAACTGATTGGACCAAGACAAAGTAGTGGTCTTCAATGAATGCAACGTGTAATCATTTGGATTGGCAGACAGTGGTGTGTCTGAAAGTTTCCAGGGCAGTGTGCACATAAATCGCATCCACTTCAATGCTTGAGAGTAACTCATGGGAATCATAGGCTGCACAAATCCAGTGTCCAATGTCATGGGAAGCAAAAAATCACCGGCAGTCTGAGCGTTGTGCATAGGTCCCCAAATGGTATCCAGCGCCACCAACCACTGAGCTGTCCATGACCAATCGCCTCGAGACAGGAAACCCCTCGCCTGCAGGGCCCAAGGTTGGCCGGATTTAGTTGTTTTAGTCTGAAAGCATGAGCCACGCAGTGCCGTGATGCACCATGATAATGATTGCAAGTTGATGCGCTGTCCATCTGAGAATCTCAGGCCTGCCCACAGCATACAAAGGAAGCCACCCAGAACGACCTGATCCTGTAAAGGACAGTCCTTCATCAGTAATCGTCGTTCCCACTGTGTGACGATGAATAGGCTCAAAGGAATGGCTTCCTTACGTTCATGAATTTTTGGATTCAAAAATGAATTGACAACTGGTCCATGCAAAGTACTCCAAGCCGGAATTTGTAAAGTTTTCTGTAACCAACGCAACGCTTTGATGGCTGCTGATGCGCCAAATCCCCAATCTGTCTGGCGCCCCTCGTGCGTGATTTGCAGCAAGTCGGACAATTTGTATGTCCCGATGGCCTGCCAGGTCAATGAGAACTCCTGTAGAATGTTGTGGACACACTGCAATGTACCAATGTACTTGAACATTGTGGAATTCGAAAATTTGTCAAGCAAACGAAGGCAATGTGATTCAAAATGAGTTGAACCCTGAAAGTCACTCCAAACTTGTGACAAATTGCCAATGCTGTGGACCAGTGCTATCCAACGGCGTTGCAGATCGACAGAGATACCTTGAACACGAGTTCTTTGAGGCGCTGACGAACCACGAGGTGCTTGCGCCGGCAAAAACACAGGTTTGGACATCTTGACATCTACACTTGAAATATCAGGTATGCCAGAAACTGTCATGTCATTTGAACGCCTAGGCGACTGCAAAACTGGGTAAGGATTCGGCCGTTCGAATTTGGGAACTTCTTTGCCCCCTTTTGACAGTGGCTGTGACAAACTGGCAGCATGACGAAAATGAAGCAACACCTCTTTGAGAATCAAAGATGAATGCCTTATTTTCACGACAACAAAAATTTGTCCCAGTGGGACAAATTAACAAGACCCAAAAAAAAAATCTCTGAAACCACCAAACAACAAACAAACACAAACAGTAAACAGTTTGTTGGTTGTCTCCCTGTTTAACTGGAAACATCGATGATACTTCATGTTCACATGTGTGATTTTTCATTCGTTTGATGTTTTCCGTTTCAAGGGAGGGTGGGTGGGAATTCCACCCTGATATTTTTCATTTGGGTAACACTGCGCCTGCCATTCGTATCATTACAGGTTCCTGGACACAGGTGGACACTCCCAGCGTGTCTTCTCAACGGGCAGAAAATGACTGAGGCCACAGATACGAATCCTGACCTTTTTCCTATGGGAGATTTTGCGGGGTCAGGTTTTGATGTTGGATACCCATATGGTGGTGAACAGTCTGAACCCTTTTTTGATGACGCCAGGGTTGATCCATCTGAAACAGTGGGGGACCAATTGGACGACTGGGATGTTACGGCAGTAAACTTTGCTGGTTCAGTGTTGGACGGTTTGCATGTTTTCACTTCCGGTGATTTTCAAAATGCATTGGACAGAGCATGGCAATCTTTGGAGCCGGCGCCACAGTGGACGATGCCTTGGGAAACGGGCGTGTGGAAACATATTTTTGATGTGTCAGAGCGTTCAAGTAGCTTGACAATGCCTGTTTTGAGTAGACCTGCAGTGGCTCCTCTGCCAGATGTCTTGCCAGTGCAACACCCGGCTTTGAAAAGCAGGCGCATTGCAGCTGAACCTCAGGCCTGGCAACAAGTGGTCATGGCCTCGGATGTGGCGTCATGGCAGGAGCTTCATGAAGCCAAGCTGGACGTGGCTTTGAAACGCTGGTATGACGTGGTGATCATGTTTCCAACGTCATTTATCTTGGTGGCTCAACTGGCTGAATTACCCACCTTGGGTGAGCAAATGTCCATGATGAGAGATGTTTTGAGTGGCAGATCACCTTTGACCTTGTTGAAACGAGTGAACTCCATTACACGGTACATGACATTTCTGCGCAATCACGGGATGACAGCGCCTGGGGTTGAGTCAGACTTGTATGCTTTTCTCAAGGAGCAAAGGTCTGAAGGCGCACCTCAGTCGAGACTTGCAGCTGTGATTGAGTCCATCAGGTTCATGGAGCATGTGTTAGGCCTCAATGGTTTGACAGACCTGCTGTCCAAGCGCTGCTTAGGTGCGGCAAAGCAGACAACAGCTGGGCCAAACCGTCAGGCAGCACCGCTGACAGTTGCAGAGCTGCGGGTACTTCATGACATCCTTGCTTCACCTGATGCAGATGTTTGGGATCGTAACATGGCTGGCGCTTTCCTGGGATGTGTTTATACAAGGTCGAGGTGGTCAGATTTTCAGCACTCGAATGAAATGACAGCAGATCCACACCCTCATTGTCCTGAGTTTGTGGAGTTATCCATTTCAGAGTACAAGACAAAGTATGCAAATGCTTGGAGGGGTGGTTTGCTTACAGCAGTGGCCCCAGCCATCGGTGTGTCGGCAGAGAACTGGGCGCAGAACTGGCTGGTAGTTAGAAACATGTTGCAGGCACCTTTGCATGAGGATTTTCCCATCATGCCAGCACCGAACGCTGCAGGGGAGGCCACCAAAAGGCCCCTTACCACTAAGGAAGTTGCGGAGTGGATCCGTTTGCTTTTGAGGAGAGGTGGCATAGCAATGGGTGAACGCAGAATTTCATCCCATAGTGCCAAAGCCACCATCCTTTCATACTTAGCGAAGTATGGAGCAGAGATATCAGTGCGTGAGATTTTGGGGGCCCATGTTTCCCACTTGCAGTCGGTCATCAGATATTCAAGAGACGCCCTGGCTGAGCCCTTGCGGGTTATGGCACGCATGCTGGCTGACATACGCAGTGGCATTTTTATGCCGGACACCACAAGGTCTGGATACTTTTCAATGAACTTGGACCCAGCCACAGAGGAGATTGACAGTACAGTTATTCTGGTCAGTGATGATGAGGACGTTAAGCATGAGATGGCACAGGTGGAACAAATTGCTGAGTCTGACAGTGAGGACGAAGCTGACACCTGTTCAAGCTCAGATGAAAGTGCAGTGGCATCTGCAAGGTGCAGTCGACCCGTAACCGTGCCAAAGGCGCCGGTGGGCTTCAAGATGTACCAGCACACCAAGAGCCGCATGCTTCACCTCATGGAGTTGGAGCACCATAGGGTGTTCCAGTGTGGAAGGATGGCTGGGGAAAAGCATGAGATTTCCCAGGCCAGCAAACTCCGTTGGGACACCCCTTGCTGTGGCCGATGTTGGCGCACAGCTGGGCACCCGCTCGTGTCTAGGGTCGGATGAATGAGCCAGACAACATGAGCGCTGGACCTTTGCAGCCAAACACTTGGCAACGCAGAGCTATGAGCCTTCTTGTGGAAAAAATTTGACAGGCAGCATCTCCTTGTGCAAATCATTCACCAGTTAGTGTCAACATGAGACACGGTGAGAACGCACACATTGAAAACCACCTGTCAAACATTTCATTCCACTTGTCATACATGTCGGCTCCAGGTGTGCAACATGAAGTGCATGATACGTTTGTTTGGCTCATTTCATCATGCATGTCAGGAACGTCCAGACCTTAACTCAGGCACTCTCAACTTGTTGCAAATTGCATAAGTGAGCATGTCATATAGATACAGAAGTTGATAAACCACACTCCATTCTAAATACACCCTCTTTTGGATCTGACCCAGTTTTTCTTTCACTTTGACAGCTGGTTCATTGTTTCTTTTGTTGTAGGGACCTCAAACGCTACCCGTTGCTGAAACATGGCACTGGTGGAATCAGAGGCCGCTTTTCAAAAGCGTTGTGATGAACTGGAGGACCAGCTCTACACGAAGTGTAAGGCCCAGGACATCACGTCTTTTTCAACTCTGGCATTTTCGTTGGGGTCACCTCAGAACCAAGTCAGTGAAACAGAGCTGTCAGATTTGGCGGGAAAAATTCATGGAGGAGTGGCCACAGTGGGGAACACAGCCAACATAAGGAGACTCCATTTTGAGGCTTGTACATTTCTTATGGCAGATATGAAGTCGCAGGTAACAGCAACTGACCCGTCAGAGCCTGTGCGTAAACTTCCATTTGTTGAAAAGCAGAATCGCCTTGAAATGCAGAAGCGCCGAATCAGTGGGTTGTCGCACCGACCTGAGCAGCAGCCAGCCCACCAGTTGATTGACCAGGTGTACAACTTGATAGAGTCAGGTGCCATCATTTACATTCATCCCTCAAAGTGCCATTCAAGGGAACACGAGATTCAGAATGAGGCAAAACAGAAGACCAAGCAAATCGTTACCCTTGAACAGGGGGCCTTGAAAACAACCACAGCCAATGCCATGACAGACATTGACACTTCCACTGAGTTGAAGGTTTACTTTGCTTTGATGCGACGGCACTTGGCTTTCGAGATGCTTCATTTGCTTTCCTGGGAGTTGTGTCAACTTTGGTTGGACAAGCTCATGACCGTGCTGATCTCAGATGCTCCAGCAAATTTTTCAGCAGTTGGAGTGAGTCAGATTCTCAAAGCTGATCGGGAGATGTTTACATTGCTTGCCATGGAACATACAGATGGTTTGAAAGCATTGCCTGGCAGAGAGCCGCCGTTGGACAAAACGTTCAAGCGCCTGATGCACGACCCACGCATCAATGTTCATTTGATTGCATACCCAAAGCAGCAGCCAGTTGCACCGAAAACCCCAAAGCGTCCTGGTGATGAGCCTGGAGATAAACCAAGTCCTAAAAAGCCAAAAAACCAGCCGCCGAAGCCCGTGCCTCAGATGCCAGCTGAGTTGAAAGGGTTGACAAGTAGGACTGCAGACGGCAAACCCATTTGCTGGCATAGGAACCTTAAGAAAGGGTGCAATAACACAGTCAAGAATGGCCGGTGCAGATTTGGGATGCACGTATGCATGAAGTGTCACAAAACGGGACACGGAGCAGCAGATTGCCCTGGTTGACTAGAAACATCAGATCAACAGGGTGCATGTGAGCCAAGGCCTTGTACAGTGGGCCATCCAATTTTTGCTCAAGATTTTCCAATGTGTCCTATAAAGGATGTCGATCGGCCTGGTCCCATTAGTCAGACGCAGCCTGCCAGCCATCAGTTGCCTGGCGATTCAATGTGCAATAAGGGTACAGGACTGGTCCTTGAGATTTTTGCCGGATCGTGTCGGCTCAGCAAAGCTTGTCGTGGAATTGGCCTACAAGCATTGTCGGTGGAT